GCGCCCCCCACAGCTCTAGAAACCACGAAACCCATTCCCCTGCTCTCTTCTCCCCTGCAAGGGAATCAGAACACCTGGGCGCTGGGCAGAGATGGCTCCCTGTGTGAGATGAAATCCTCTGCCCAAGCCCCAGGGGATGAGCCCTGATTGATATAAGTTGATCAGAGTAATAGTAGTAATCCATTCGTCTCTGGCTGGGGCTGGCATGTGGGTACATGACAGCAGTTCTGAACAGTAATGTGTGGCTTCTGGGAAATTTCCCCCTTTTCCCCATAAAGAGGTGTACATGGAGAGGGTCTGGCCCCTCCTCTCTCTTCCCTGCTTTGAGACGCCGTCATGTGCCCCCGCAAACGTCTTGTGACCATCACTGACGCTTCCTAACGCCAGCCCTGAGTTGCAGGACCAACCCTGAAGCAGCCCGCTTTGAGGTTGCTTGTTAAAATAATAAATGTCCTTGGTATTGAAGCTACTGTCGATGGGGCGTTCTGTCATTTGCAGCCCCAAGCTCCCAGACAAGCTCTCTTAGCAAGGTGTCACAGGTGAGGCTGACAAAAAAAGAAAAAAAAAAAAGCCAGTTTCTGATCGTCTTAGCAGGTCTCTTCCAACATAGAAGAGGGACTTCGTAGTTGTTGAAATGAAGCAATTCAGAGTTAAGACTGCTATTGACTCAATCCCTGAAAACTAGAACCCTCTCCCCTCTGATAAAATACCAAGTAGAGACTCTGTAATAAACTGATAATTAAATGAACCCTCATTCATTAGCATCCCTAGCAACAGTTTGACTTGACTGCTCCTGACAGTGTGCCCTGGGGTCCTGGAACTTCTGTGGTGGGGATAATGTGCTTAAAGGCAAAGTAATACTTCAGATGCACAGGTAAAGCCTGAGCCCCATTAAATAGAGAATCTTCATGTAATATTTTTCAGCTGATAAGTTTTAGGACTATTCTACAGTCTTGTACCTATGCAGTTCCATGAAGTTAGTTAATTTTCACTGCATTGTAAATTTCCACCACGTTGCATTTTAATGTATTTGTACCTTGAAATTTGTATGCAGAGACTGCATAGGCTATCAATTTGATGAACTCCTCACAGACATTATGTGATAAATATAATTAAAGCACCGAGATTCCATATTGACAAAAGCAGAAAGTGTCTTGAAGCGAATGTTAGAATTCTAAATTGGTGATTTTTATTCCATGCCAGAAGCAATTTTTTTTTTTCCCCTCTGTGAGTCCATCTCTGTTACAGTTGTAAAAATCATTGAGGGAATTGGAGCATTATTTATTCAACATGCATCTTTTCAAAAATATATCTAATATATAAACCCAGATAAGCTTATAGATATTAAACATGAGATGTATGTGATGTGCACTGTAATATAAACTATAAAATCCACTGGTAGTAGGTGAATAAAATTATCTAGGAGTTCAACATTTTATTGCATTTTTCCATCTTAGAGTGTGTAATTCTCATCTTAATTCAAAACCCAAAAGTCCAGCAGGCACTTTCAAGTTGAATGTAAAGATTCCCAAGTTCCCCCTGGTCCCTGTAGCCCCACACAGGATGTACTCTGAGATAAGTGAAAAGAGAAAATGCAGGGCATATTGTAACAGTTTCAGCAGTCTAGGAAGTACCTCTCAATGCTGCGAACGAGAGGCTTCAGCCTAAAAAATTGTATTTACCCATGTACAATGGCAAGTGGCACTTGGGACTTGAGCATTGAAAACACCAGGTCTCACATCGCTTTACCAGCTCTGTGACTGTGTGGCAGATCACTTACCCTCTGTGAACCTCAATTTTGTCCACTTTCAAATTGGGATAATAATCCCTGAACTAGTCACCTCTCAGGCTAGCTGTAAACTCCAAATAAAACAATGAAAATGAAATGCTCCATATGGAAGCAAATTGGAAATTATAAAGTGCTTTATAAATGTCAGATGCTTACAATTAATATTTTGTTTTCCTCCTTAATCTTTCTAAGGTATAAAAAGATAGCAATTTTGTTTCTAAAATAATTTCACTTACAAATTTCATTATATCAAATTCTGTTAAATAGCCGTCAGGTAAGCGTGGAGGAATAGCCAGGTCAGTATAACAGGCCATTGCTATGATAGCCTCAATGTTTTCTTGTGTTGTGTCATTCATTGAGGTAAGCTGGGCAGCTTTATTTCTTTAAATAATTGCGTCCTATAATTCTGCCCTTGTCACTCTTCTCTACTTGTTCTAATTTGCCTGGCAGGCATTTTCTGACCAACTGAGTTGGCTAGCTTCTGGTTCCAGTAGTGAGCTTACTTGTCAATTTTAGAACAAGACCCTAGGTGCAAGACGATAGTTGGTAATTGGCTACACAACAGCTTTTTAAACTGTGGTTTCGGCTGAGATGATAAGTGAATAATCACCAGTTCCAAAGTGCAGGCGAGGCAAAGTCTCCTTAGGGCAAGTTATAAAGAAATATATAGACTGGACCAAAGGGTCTGGGCTGAGGCTAGAAATGAGAAATCAGAGAATATAGGGGCAGGATGGGTGAGGTAGTTTCTTTGGAGAGGAGTGGGGGGGTGCCCCCTTCATCTCAAACCCAGTGAGAAGCCTTCCCAGAGGAGCCTGCCAGGGACTGAAGTTAGGTAGATCAGAGGACTGGAGTCTGACTCACTCTGGGAAAGCTAAAGCTTCATCCTGTGATAGCATGGGGGAGTGGGGAGCGGGAAGGGGGATGGCAGGTGGGGAGTACTGCACTGGGATGGGCCTGCATTCTCAGAGTTATGAAGGAAAGAGATGTATGTGGTTGGTTTTTGTTTTGTTTTGTTTTTTGGTGTTTTTTTGTTTTTTTTTTGGACTAGGTATGGCACCGTCTTGGGACCCATCTAAAGGGGTTGGGTAAACTCTGGATTTCTAGGGTCAGAGAATGGGTTGTAAACAAGCTGTGGGACAGCTCAGCATCCACCTGAAGAGTTCCCTGGAAAGACATCTTCATTAATAGAAATGCTGATGAACCCAGGAGGGCCCCACAAGGGGTGCTTTAACTCTAGCCCAGGCACAGCAACCTCCAAGCTATTCAAATGGGGGTGGGGGGAAGTGCTCCATCTCCTGGCTTCTTTTCCCCCCACTTCCTGCCCACCTCCACCCAGGTTGGGTCCTAAAGTGGCCTCTAATGAATGGGGGAGTGCTGAGCCTAAGCCCACTGCATCTCTGCTGGGAAAGGCATCTGGAGACCTGAGACAGGAGAGGGGGATGAAGTCTTATTTTCAAGTAAAGTTTGATGCATTTGTTTATATCTTGTATCCAACATTATAATTTTGGAATGAAGCTGTGATTGAGATTTAGTTACAGTCGGACCATGGGTTATCTCAAAATGAGCAAAAAATACATGGGCATTACCCACTTTCCATCTAGGGGCAGGGGAAGAAAACCAACACTGAATGTATCTTAAAACAGCTGTGAGAGATAAAAAGAAAGTTGCATTTTAAAAGACTTTTTTTTTTTTTAAAGATTTTATTTATTTATTTGACAGAGATCACAAGTAGGCAGAGAGGCGGGCAGAGAGAGAGGAGGAAGCAGGCTCCCCGCCAAGCAGAGAGCTTGATGTGGGGCTCCATCCCAGGACCCTGAAATCATGACCTGAGCTGAAGGCAGAGGCTTAATCCACTGAGCCACCCAGGCGCCCCAGAAAGTTGCATTTTAGTCACATCTCCCAAGTTGTGAATTCAAAATATTAGTTATGTTTTTATATTAAATGGCAAAGTTCCCTTGGTATAATGGAGTCCAGTGGCCAGTGGGACTTGATGATGTGATGACATGTTGACTCACTTGGAAAAATTAAAACCTGGAAGAACACAAATACTTTGTTTCAGGCCTTAAAATTACCCAACCCACGAATAAATTTTCCTCTTGGATCCTTTGAAGAATACTTACATTCCTTTAGTTTAGGCTAGTATCATTTCCCACCTAGCATGATGGCTTACACATAATATGTGCTCAAAAATATTTTCAATTTAATTATTCTTTACAAGATACTTAGCACCAAGGCATGTGGCATTTTTTAAGTTGACAACAACACTTCAGCTGAAAAATCCCCATATTTATAAAACGTGGTGTCAACTTGAATGGAGTGTGATTATGGTCTCACTTGTATTTCACACTGTAAAGTGTTGCTGAATGGTCTAATAGGAGAGAACGGAATTTAAACCGGAAACATATAAATGGGATTCTTTTTGCCAATCAACTGCGATGGTGCAGTAAGTACAGAAAAAATGTTTGCCCACAGGGAGGCTAGACTTGAATCTTCCACTGTCATTCATTACACTTCGGACTGCCGTTTTGTCCCCTGTGAATGGGGATGCCAGGCGTGCTTGCTACCTCAGAGTGGTAGGGACACTTAAAAAGAAAATACACAATAAAATATCCTTTGCAAACTCTAAAGTGCTTCCCCCGTGCAATTGCTTAAAAACAACCAAACGTTTAACTTTCATTCATTGCCATGTGCATAGCGCTTTATATCTATTTTTTCATTCAGTCTTCAACACAACCACAAGACCTAGCTAGGTACTACGAATTCTCTCCATTTTACAAATGAGGAAACAGAGAGTAAGCCAACTAGTTCGAGGCTATACGGGGCTGTAACTTCAATCCAGTAAATCCTGACTTTTCACCCTAAGCACTAAGCTGTCGTCCTGCTTTTTGTTGTTAAAAGTGCTGAGATCTCAAAGGGTCTCAACAAATTTGGTTCGGTAAGCTGTTAATTTATAAGGGAACTCCTCCCCACACCTGTCTTCTAAGCGGTTCCCTCGCACTCCCCCTCTCCAGCCCTCGCCCAAGATCCTCCCTTCGCTCCTCCAGCTCCCCCGCCCGCTCGGGGCCTCAGCGTTCCTACGCATGCGCTGGGGTACCCGCGCAGGCCCAGTGGCCAGGCGGCGCCGGGAAACCTCCCAGTCTCTTCTCTCCCGGCCCCGCCCCACTCCGCCCCGCCCCACTCCGCCCCGCCCCGCTCTGCTGCTCCTTCGTGGCTGCTGGCTGCCTCTGGGAACCTAAAGGATGAGCTGAAACTCCGCAGCTGTTACTGTTACCAGCGCTAATCACTGGGGCTTTGGGTTTGGCCGGAAGCCCCTTTCCCTGCGCCTGGTCCCAGCTCATTTCCTGTCCGGCTCCGCGCGTCGAGCAGTGACCTGGCTCTGCAGGCAGGCGGCCCAGGCGCCCGGGGTAGGTAGTTTGTGTACGGTTACCATGGAGACGCCGGCCGGCCTGGCAGAGCTGGCGAGCTAGGGGGCTGGCAGGAGGGTGGGCTGGCAGGCAGAGTGACCGCGCTGCTGTGCTGTGTCCTGGCCTGAACCTGTGGAGGAGGGGACATTGCCGGGAGCGGGGAAGCCTCTGTCCGTACGGTCTCCCGCCTAGTCACCCGGGACCTTTCCTGCTGTCGCCTGCCTTTCTGCCCCCAGAAGGGTGTATGCTCTCGGCGTCGGTTCACGGCTGTCCTTATTTCTGTAGGCCGACTGTGTAGTCCACTGTGTGGAGCTTAACAGAAGCTTGGAGATATTTACTGAATGAAAGTGGTAAACCAAGGGGTTTTGTCTAGGTAGACAGCGACCTCTCCACGGTCACACAAATTGTACCTGAGCTCTTTTAGGCAACAGATAGGGAGGGGCCCAATAAAAAAATGTAACAGTATACATTAAAATACGTCATATGTACATATAATGCCTTTGATCGTCCGTTCCCACGACTGTCACAGCGGCTCTTCCATCTCACTCTAATTTAGAATTATTTTAAACTGGTAAAAAAGCAAGAAGCACTCGATTTGCATCCTATTTTGTGAGCCTATAAAATTCTAATTAGTTATTGATTTGGCATACCTGATATTCAATAAAATACTTGATAAAAATTCTTTTTCACAATGAAACCCTGCATTTAAATTTTAATTTACAAAAATTTATGGAAACACTTAACAAACCTTATTCCCTTTCATTTGCAATTTCTTTCATTAAATGCAGTTTTTTATTCATGGGAGAATTTTTATTGTATCCGCCTGGGTCGTAGTTAACTTTTTCTTAAGGGCTAGGTACCACACTAAAGCACTGCACAAGAATTAGGTTATTTAATTATCAGAACAATCCTATAAGGCAATTATGGCCATCCCTGTTTTACGGATGAGGAAACTGAAGCTTAGAGGCATTAAAGTCTTTGCCAATGTCACATAGCTGTGAATTGCCAAGAGAATATTTGAACCCCTTATCCAGCAATGCACTTAACCACTGCCTCTTTGGGTGTTCATGTTAACAGAAAGGTATTTCAGAATCATGGAAAGGGTCTTGAGTGCAGATGGCCTTCTACTCACCATGGTTCAGCTGAAAATTTTCAACTTTACTGTTGGTGTGGCAGCAATTTTTAATGCAATAGAAACCATACTTTGAATTTTTATCTTTTCCGGCGCTAGGGATGGGCTCTGTCGTACTCTCTGGGGATGCTGGGTAGTCGCAGCCACTCACTGTTACACACTCACAACCATTCTGTATCTATATAGCCATCTGGTTTTTTAAAATTTCTTTTTAATTTAAAGATTTTATTCATTTATTTGAGACCCTGCGAGCAGGTGCTAAGTGGGGGAAGGGCAGAGGGGGAAGCCGACTCCCTGCTGAGCAGAGATTTCCCCAGGGTGAGGGGGCTCTATCCCAGGACCCCAGGATCAGGACAACAGAAAGCAGCCACTTAACCAACTGAGCCACCCAGGACCCCCCACCCCCACCAGCCCCCAGGCAAGCCATTCTGGTTTTTATTTTAGGCACAGTATTCCATAAATGACGTGAGCTACTCAATACTCATTGTAACATAGGCTTTGTATTAGCTGATTTTGCCCAACTGTGGGCTAATGTAAGTATTCTGGGCATGTTTAAGTTAGGCTGTGTTATACTATGATGTTCAGTAGGTTGGGTGTATTGAATCCATTTTCGACTTAATATTTTCAGTTTAGGATGGGTTTTTCAGGGTGTAACCCTATCACAAATTGAAGATCTGTGTTTGATTTGCAGGGACAGAGAGTGGAGGGGATCAGCCTTTCTCTTGTTGCAGAATATCTTGATAGAGTAATGCTGCATTTAGCAAGGAGACTGGTTTAGGTAACTATTAGTGGCAAAGAGAAAGATGGGTCTTGATAATTAGGTACGAATTTTTACAAATGAGGACTCTGAAATTTTCTTCCAATGAGTAAGAAATATTTTGTTAAAAATGAAGATCCCAGTTTTAGATTTCCTACCGCTGGCTGTGGTCATCCTCTAGAGGTCCTGCGGACATCATCAACTCAGGACAGTGATGCAAGGCAGCTCATAGCCTTTTCCTTCTTTCCCTTCAAAGTCTACTCTTGTTTTCTTTTAAAAGGTCTCTTGGTCCTCTGACCTCGGCACCCCTCCAGGTTTGCATAAAGTGTCACGTTTGGCTTCTTCCTGTCCTCTCAGCTGCTAAATCCTGTTGGTTCTTCTGCTGTTGTCCCTCACTTGTTCTCATCTCTCTTCTTACCTCTGTTTCACCTTTTCTCCTTCATCTCAGGCTTTCAGTACCTCATTCATGGATCACACTGTTTATCAGGTCTTACTCCCTGCCAGGCAACTTGCAGTAAAGGCAAGAAAGGAAAAGGGTGCTGAATTTGATCTCATATTACCACTTGGCATCAAGAATCAAATACCATTTGCTGGCTCAGTCAGTAGAGCATGAGACGCTTGATCTCAGAGTCATGAGTTCAAGCCCCACTCTGGGCATGGAGCCTACTTAAAAAAAAAAAAAAAAAGAATCAGATGTCAGATGCCATTGAAATCAAGTCCCATATGCCTTCCTAATCCACTGTAACGGATGTCTCCAATGAAAGTAGCCATATTGCCTTCAGCTTGATATTGCTTGACTCAGATCTGTATTGGAAAATGGAGTTCAGGGGCGCCTGGGTGACTCTTGATTTCAGCTTAGGTCATGATCTCAGGGCTGTGAGATGGAGCTCCAAGTCAGTCTCTGAGCTCAGCAGGGAGTCTGCTTGAGATTCTCTTTCTCCCTCTCCCTCTGCCCCTTTCCCCTGCTCATGGGTGCTCTCTCTTGCTCTAAAAATAAGTAAGTCTTAAAAAGAGAGAAGAGAAAATGGAGTTCAGCGATTCAACAAATGTTGACCTTCAACCATGCCTCACAAAAGGAACTGTGGCTCAGAGTCTGGTGAGACAGCACAGGGACACAGTGGGAAGGTGTACTGACAGAGGCCAGCTGCTGATCTTGTAGAGTATGGAGGAGAAACACCTAACAGGCTGGAGGACAGGGAAAGCCATATCCAGGGATGCTTCCTTGGAGACCTCTAGGAATTAGTTGGCTCATTACATCAGAACTACCTCCTTCCCATCATGCCCTCTCCTGCCAGATCACATCATGCCTCCAAATCTATTAATTTACTCACCAGCTTTTTTTTTTTTTTAAATTTCTTGACCTGCTATTCAGTTCTCTCTCTGGTCCAACTCCAATCTATATTTCCAGAGCTCATTCTTCTCCAGCACACATCCCATATGTTCTTGGCACTCTGCCTTGGCTCACTCATTGACTTTGCTGGAAATTCCTTCTTTCCTCCAGATCTAATGTCTGCCATTGCCACATGCTTCAAATTCAGCCCATTTTCCAGAACGGAGCTCAAGCATCACCTCCTCCGGGAAGCCTCCCTGACACTTCCTCCCAATCAGAAATCCTTTTTTTTTTTTTTTTTTTTTTGCAATCACATGGGAGTTATTTCAGTTTTTTTCATTGCCCCTACAAGTTTCCACCTTGTATTAAAATCATTTGGGTACAAGCAGAGTTGACATTGAGCTGGTACACTCCAAGAAAGCCGCTCCAGTTCTGGAAATATTAGCCTGTCTCTATATTGGTACAGACATAGCCGCAGCCAAGGCCTCTGGTGGCCCTGCCTCTTTCCACCCCATCTCATGAGTATAGTTTCAGTATCATCTCTGGAAATATGTCATAGCTTCTGTGCTTTGTCTAAAACCTCATCCTTCACAAAACTGTTGTAGGGATTCATTGAGATGATGTCCTCGAGACTGATTAGCACAATGCTTGGTAGTAAGGCAAATGTTTAACTAGCATTAGTGGTCTTCTTGGCTGAGAGTTGAGACAGTATTCATTCCTGTGTTCCCAGGGATCCGAGCAGAGGGCTTTGTACATAGGAAACAGTTAATCCATACTAGCTGAATGGATTTGTTCCAGTTGCCAAGAGAATTTTTGTAGAGTTAAAATTTCTGTGATACTATTGTGTTATGGTTCAGGTGTCCTTTACTATAAACAGACAAGCTTTCAAACTGAGTGATTGTTTAAGTTGGCAAAAATCCTCTATAATAAGAATTTGTAATCTAACAAAGAAAAAAATACTTCCCTCTCCCCTAAAAACATGCTTCTAACTCAGTTCACTTGGTGTCCCTGAAAATTCAGTCTCGAGGACATCATCTCAATGAATCCCTACAACAGTTTTGTGAAGGATGAGGTTTTAGACAAAGCACAGAAGCTACGACGTATGTCCATATTTGATTTAGTTCATGATATATTAACACAAATAATAAGTAGATTAACTGTGCAGATCTTACATTATTGAAACTGCTTCTCACAATGTAACCATTAAGTTTTGGGAGAAAGAGAAAGGAAGAGGGAGAGAGAAAGTTGTTTTAGAATTTGTGGTAAAAAAATTTCTGAGCAAAATGATTTTTAAGCCTACTGTTCTACATTATTTCCACCAATATTTGATCAAACTAAATTCCTGTGTGCCCAAATAAAGTACAGGACTGTTAGCACTCATCCTGAGTGAATGTCCCTGCTTCATGACTTCATGGAAGAGTGTAGTTTTCCACAAACTGAAATACAGGATCTCGGTCAGGAGCGCTACGCCATAGTGTTCATCCAGAGCACTTCCTCCAGTATTTAGTAGGTTGCCAGATCACCTTCAACATCGCTAGACTTATTAGAGCTATGCGGGGCCAAAGGAATCACAAACCTGATTTGGGCTCAGGGAGAAACCTGTTCATTGCACAGGAACGTCCTCTCTCTAAGTGGTGTACTTTCCTACTGCACTGGGCCTTTTATTTTTTATTATTTTATTTTATTTTTTTAAAGATTTTATTTATTTATTTGACAGACAGGGGGAAAGCAGGCTCCCCGCTGAGCAGAGATCCCTATATGGGGCTCGATCCTAAAACCCTGGGATCATGACCCGAGCCAAAGGCAGAGGCTTAACCCACTGAGCCACCCAGGTGCCCCCATGGGCCTTTTAAAAACAAACAAACAAAGGAAACTAGTATGGCCGCTTGAGTTAGATGTAATGGGACTGAATTTACATTACCATGCATCCAAAAATAATACAGGTATCCCCTGCTTTCGTGCTATGTCACTTTGCTTTTATGCAAGATCTATAATAACGCAGTCTTATAAAAGTGAATGTCCTCTTCAGATTTCTTCTGGTGAGTGAGAACAGATGTTAATGCAGGTATTTTGTAAAAGCAAAGTGGCAGAAAGCGGGGGCACCGTACTCTTCACACCGTTTTGGCTTATCAGAGTTTTCATGCGAATGTGCTCTTTTAGATGGCAGGGGAAACATGTATATATGGCTATACAAAAAATACTATACATATTTTTAATAATCAGCCTTGAATATTTTAAAAATAAACAGCCAATCACATCAGAAGAATTAGAAGTAAAATGTATTTGGCCTGTCATAGTTTTTTGTTTGTTGTATTAATGTGCATGATTTTTGGAGACCTTGCTTAAATTCCAAATCCTATAACAGAAATTCCTAGAAAGAAAACACCTAGAATAGGACGGCTTATCTAGGATTTCTTTTTTTACTGTTTTACCTCACCTGGCCTTTCCATATGAAAAGGAATAGCATAAAAATCTGCAAGTCTTTTTGGTTTTAACACTGAAAAATTTTTGAATTAAAAAATTAAAAATGTCCTCCAAAGGCTAGTTTTTTAAAGTGTTAGTGTTTCTCTGTAAATATTTATTTGTGCTGGCCAATCAGGTATTATGGCTGACTAAAAATAATCATGTATGTGACCAGTTTTCAAAAGTAATAAAGTACATTTAATATTTAAAAAAGAAAAGAAAGGAAGGGCGCCTGGGTGGCTCAGTGGTTAAAGCCTCTGCCTTCAGCTCAGGTCATGATCCCAGGGTCCTGGGATCGAGCCCCGCATCGGGCTCTCTGCTCAGCAGGGAGCCTGCCTCCTCCTCTCTCTCTCTCTCTTTGCCTGCCTCTCTGCCTACTTGTGATCTGTCAAATAAACAAATAAAAATCTTAAAAAAAAAAATAAAATAAAAATAAAAAAGAAAAGAAAGGAATAGCATATTGTTTGTAGTTTTCATCATGCTCTTTACCTCAAAAACTCTTAGGGTATGGTCTGGATAGAACTAAACAAATGTTCTTGTTGTCTGTTGTTACATAACAACTCAATGTATAGAATCACAATATAGTAAATCCTCTTTACTTGTCTAAGGAATCATCTGTTGATTCCACTTACGGAAATGAAGTCTTTTTAGTTTCCTTGGGCATATGTCACCAAAAAATGTTTCTTTTTTGCAAAAGTTATTCTAAAATTGGGCACTGAAATATAGGAAAAATTTCCAGGCCTCTTTCTCCTTAGAGATTTTCAGGGATCTGGGTTGTTGTTGTTGTTGTTTTAATGAAAACCTAATACTAAATAGTAATTAGAATTATGTTTTTTAAATCTCGGCTGTTTCCAAGTTTAGAGCTACAGAGGTGTCCTGCCAAGTTAACCAGGCCTCCCTGGGGACATGCCAACATTTAAGAAGGATCTACATTCTCATGGCCCTTGTGCATGACTTTAACTGAGAAATCTAGCTTGGGAAATAATATTTGATGTTGATAATTTGATATTTATTCCTCTAGGACACTATCTCACATGGAAGGTGATTTGTATTCATTCATTCAAATACATCATGGTAAATGTGGGGCTGAACCTTTCCCTGAATTTACAAACTACGTTTATAAAAGCAAATAGAGCTTGGAAATAGGCCCCATCTGTCTAAATCTAACCTTATACTTGCAGTTTGCGTGGAGGACAGCAGAGGGAAAAAAGGAAAATTTAGTTAAAATTTTAACAGAACCCCCCAGTGTTGTTTTTTTTATAGATCGGAGAATACGAGATAATTTTTTCTTCCTCGTCTGTCCTCTTTCACGATTTCTCCTCTTTGTCTCCAGGTTTAGCTTTTATTCTGGCTCTCTTCCCTGCACACCATTTCCCCGGAGTGCATATATTCCCATAGGCATAACTATGCACATCAACCTATATTTTTGAAAGCTTTTCTTCCACCCTGATCTTCTAACTGTAACTGCCTGGTAGCTTTTTAATTAAAAATTTTTTGTGATGGCGTACCGGGGTGGCTCAGTCAGTTAAGCGATAGGCTTTTGATTTTGGCTCAGGTCATGAGCTCAGTGTTGTGAGGTCAAGCCCCACATTGGGTCCCACACTCAGTGCAGGGTTTGCTTGGGATTCTCTCTCTTTTCCTTTCCCTCTGCCCCTCCCGCCTACCCTCCCCCACCACAGGCTCTTTCTCTGTCAAATAATAAATTAAAAATCTTCTTAAAAACTTGTTTGTGACTTTTTCTAGTTTAATGTAGAGGAATGGTTTAAACATATGGGTTTAAGCACTCTTTTCTAAACACCTGGATGAAAACAGTTCATATATTGTATCATGTCTTTGCAGCCTGTGGTGTCTACCTGAAGAACATTTTACTTTAAAAGGAAAAGATGCTATCTCCAAATGATAAAAAGTTAGAAAAGCTGGATCCATTTTATCGACCTTCTATGTCCAAGCAGAAGACCAGCGCAGAAATCATAAGTGAAGCACGAAATGCATTAAGAACAGTTGGGACGCAAAGACCATTTACACCACGGGAAGACCAAAGAAAACTCTTTGGTCCTGCATCTTCCAGAACACCGGAAAACAGACCTCCTTCTTCCTTCAGGTAATGACGTTTCTCTTGCTTATACACTCAGCTCTGTAAGCCACCAGAAACGTTTTCCCTTAATTCTAGATATGAATAGTTCCTTTTTAAGTTTGATGTCTGCTAATTATACCTCTTGTATCTATTCAGAGATTCCTAAAGGTAAGTCCAGACCTTGGGTCCAACAAGTTGCTTTGGTTTGAAATGGTGAATGGTGGTTGTCATACCAACTCTATAAAGTGATAATGAACAAAACTTTTTTAAAAAAAATCACCATATGCATTTCTTCTTTTCATTATTCAGTATTTTTTTAATTCCCCTACAAGCAATGAACAACCTTAGTAATAAAATGTTCTAAGAACTATTGATTTTTTAAAAATTGCTTCTTCCTCAAAGCTTATGCATTAAATGCTTTTACTTGTTTTGGGACTAGAGTTAACTAACATACACTAGAAATAAATGATTCTTCACAAACTAATATTTCTGTTCCATCTCCTGTGCTAGCCTCCATGCATCCAGTTTTGAGTCATCTGAGTCCAGGCCCATCTCTGGTGCTCGTCTCAGTCCACTAGATTTTGTGAGTACCTTATATTACCATCAGTGCTGTGAAATGGAATTGGCCCAAAATACTTGGAATCAGTACTTGTATATGCTAAGAAAAGGACCACATAGACTTAAGTATACTGATAATTTAATATGAAAACAATTTCATTTATATTTTTTCAAATGTTTCGAATCTTGATGATACACTTCTGTTATTTTCCTATAATTTATTTATTTTTATTTTTATTTTATTTTTTAAATATATTTTATTTATTTATTTGACAGGGAGGGACAATGAGAGAGAGAACATAAGCAGGGGGAGGGGCAGAGGGAGAAGCAGGCTTCCTGCTGAGCAGGGAGCCCAACATGGGGCTGGATCCCAGGACCTTGGGACCATGACCTGAGCCGAAGGCAGACGCTTAACATCTGAGCCACCCAGGAGCCCCTGTTTTCCTATAATTTAATAATAAGAACATCAGAAATAGACAGTAACCTGGCAAACAGAGTGTTTTACAACATTTTTTGTTTTTCACAATTTGTTTTGTTTTTTTCTTAAAGTTATACATATTTATTTTATTTTTAATAGAAACATATACAAACAAATTATAAATATGTGTACATAAAGGGTCAAAGGTTTGTTACCCAAAACACTCCAGGAGCCCCTGTCCCCTTATTCTTCATTCTACTCTTAACCAGTGACTCTCACTTTAAACTCTTTTGGCATGTTCTTTTGGTATTTACATCCAAAATTTTAAATAACAGTGTCTTGTTCCTCTCTGACTTATGAGTTTGAAGAATTATCTAATGACTTCTCACTAAGGAAGATGAAAATTTAACTCTTGTCTGTCCTCCCACACATCCTCACAACACAGTCATCCTTTTTGGCCCCACTGCTATTCCCAGTATAGATATATCATCATTTTGCTTAGATCCCTTTTCTCTGACTATGATTATATAAATCCTGTTTACAACTGAGTCTTGAACTAATGATGATTACTTTTCCTTCCCCACACCACTTTTTGTTTTCCCTGGTGTTATTTGTTGCCTTGCTTTTTTGTTTTGTATTACTACCATTTCAACCCCAAACTCTTCTCCAGGGTTCTAAATCTACTTCACATATTCAGGCACATGCAGTATTCTATTGATTCATCTTTTTGGAGAACTTTCCCCACTTTCTCCCAGACCATTTACCCTTGGTACCTGGCACACAGCTTGCTTCTCCCTCTTGTGATGGCTTACCTGTCTCCTGTATCCCAGGATTTACTTTTGGAGTACTTCCTCTGGTAGCTTCTAGAGAAAGGGTTTATGAGAAGTACATTATTTGAGACCTTGATTGCTGTTTTTTCTCTCTAGAAGTTTGTAGGATTTTTCTTTTTGTTTCCAGTGTTCTAAAATTTCATGATAACGGACCTTTGTGTTAATTTATTTTCATCCGTTGTGCTGGGCACTTTCAATGGAATCTCATGCCCTTCAACTCTGGGAAATGTCCTTGAATTATTTTGGTGTATCTTCCCCTCTTTTTTGTTCTGTTTGCTCTTTCTGGAATTTATTATCCCAATATGTAGGAGTCCCTGGACTGGTACTTCAGTTTTCTTTCCTTTTTTTAATTTTTATTTCCCATATTTTTTTGGAATAGACTTTATCTTCTAATCCTTTTATTGAGTTCATTTCTGTCATCTTTTTTTTTTTTTTAGAAGATTTTATTTATTTATTTGACACAGAGAGAGATCACAAGTAGGCAGGGAGGCAGGCAGAGAGAGAGGGGGGAGGCAGGCTCCCTGCTGAGCAGAGAGCCCGTGGCAGGGCTCAATCCCAGGACCCTGAGATCATGACCTGAGCCAGAGGCAGAGGCCTAACCCACTGAGCCACCCAGGTGCTCCTCTGCCGTCATATTTTTAAATTTTTTAATTATTTTTAATTTCCTAAAAGCTATTTCCCTGCTCTAAGTTATCTTTTCTTATGGATAGTATTCTTGTGTTTCATGGTTGTAACATCTTGTCTGAGTATATTAATGAAAATTTTGATTTTTGAATTATTTCCTTTTTCCTTTAAAATCTCTGTTGTGCTCTGTGTGTGTGTGTGTGTGTGTGTGTGGCTTAAACAACAGAAATTTATTTTCTCATAGTTCTGAAGTAGAAATCGAAGATCAAGAGGGCAATAAGGTTTGTTTCTATTGAGGCCTTTCTCCTTGGCTTGTAGATTGCCATCTTCTCCCTGTGTCTTTACACGGTCTTCCCTCTGTGTCTGTTGCATTTTAATGTTTGCTTTGGTTTCTCTTTTTCATGTCAGAGGCTCTCCTCTGATAGCTCATGCTGCTTGTTTGGCTGCTCTTATTTGAAAGTAGAAGCCTGTGGAATAGACAGGTCGACCCATAGGTGATACCTAACCCCATCAGGGAGGACTGGCTGGGCTGTGTTGTTTATGAAACCCCCAGCAGCAGTATCTTCAAGGATTAGCAGTATCTTTAGGGATTTCCTTGTGGCAAGTTAATTCTCTGTAGAAGTATCTTGTAAGCTCTTGCCTAAAGGATAAAGGCTGGTTGCTATCTTCCAAGAACCAGCTGGAGGAAGAAGGTAGGAGTACCTAGCATTCAGTAAGTAAATATTCAGTTAATTTCTATGTTTATAATAAGTACCCTGACACTTAACTCTGCATAGTTAGCCTGATTTTACCCTCTCTATGGAGCAAATCTCCTTACCATGTAGCATAGCTACATGGAGCTGGGAGGGAAGGAGTTACACAGACTTTCAGCCAATCCTCCTTATTTAGGTCTCTTCCCCTTGTATCTCTACTGCCATAAGTACCTAGTGATGTCATGGAATCGGGGTGGTGTACAAGCTGCTTCTTGATTTTTTTCTTTTAAAGATTTTATTTGTTTATTTGACATAGACAGAGATCACAAGTAGGCAGAAAGGCAGGCAGAGAGAGGGGAGGGGGAAAAGCAGGCTCCATGCTGAGCAGAGAGCCCGATGTGGGGCCTCGATCCCAGGACCCTGGGATCATGACCTGAGCCGAAGGCAGAGGCTTTAACCCACTGAGCCACGCAGGCGCCCCTGCTTCTTGATTTTTATTACCGCATATATGTGTGCTTATTTGTGTGTGTATATGTGTTTGTTTTTGATGAACTATTTGAAAGTAAGTTGCAGATCTTTTAGGACTTCATCCATAAAAATTTAAGTATGCATCTCATATGAACAAAGACAGTCTCCTACATTACTACAATATTATCATCAGAGCTCCGAAAATTAACATTATTCAGTAACATCATCTAATGTACAGTCCATGTTCAAATAACCCCAATCGTCTCCAAATGTATCTCATATTCTTGAACTACTCATCAAAATGCTTCCACGAGGAAGATTATGCTTGTTCTTATACTGTAGATGGCAAAAATAAGGTTCTAATATAGTAAGCATGAACCAATGTGCAATAAACACTGTGTTAGCCATTGTTGACATGTAGTTTCTTACACTTACAGTCTTGGAAACCTCTTGGATTTTAAGCCAGCCACAAGAGGCCCCCTGGTTTGGGAGCCCAATGTGTTTACCTTGTTGAGGGTGGTTCTCTGTGTTCTGATTCTGTCATTTGACTCCCATGAATTGTTTTTAGTATTCTATAGTTTTTGGAGACTTACTCAGTTTGGGCCTATTCTATCCTAAGAATCTCTAGTTCTAGAGTTAACCTAGTCAAAGCCAGCCCTTGTCAAACTGGTACAGCCTTTGGACTGCAGGATTAGATAGTAGGCAAAGATAATATTGGCCTTTGCTTCTGTTTAGGGTCATTATAATTATATTTCTTTACTGCAGAATGGTTAGGTGCTATGTGCAAAGTAACAATAGACTCAGAAATCCCCATGTTGAGTAAAACAACTCCTTTAGTTTGAAATCCTTTTGTTATAGTAGATTATGTAACGGTCTTAATGAAATATATGAAATATATACTTAAGACCGTTACATAATCTACTATAACAAAAGGAGTTCAAACTAAAGGAGTTGTTTTACTCAACATGGGGAAAGTTTGGAGCCCCCAGTCAAAAAATTCTGAAAGTGAACTTATACTAACCTGCCATTCCACCTTCTTTCCTTTTCCTTTCCCCTTTGAGAGAACTATGTGACTCCGAGAACTTCTGTCCTGCCAAAGGAGGGAGAAGAGGGGAAAGAGGAGTGCGGGAGGAGGGAGCGGGAACAAGGAGACAGCTGGGGAGGCTGGGACAGGGCTGTCTCCTAGTTACCGGGCCCACTAGCTGAAAGAATTTGCGAAGACCTGAATGACCGAACTTTAGCCCTTTCTGGCTCTAGGTGACTTTCTTAGGCTAATTTGCCTTTTAATAATTCCTCAGCTAGCAGTCAATCAAGGAAGAGGGACCAAGAAAGCACCCTATTCCAGCTGCTACATTTAACAAATCAGCTCACCTCTTTGAGCTTGTATGTTTTCCCCTCTCCCTGTTTTGACTCCTGCCACCACCCCACCCCGGAGTCTGGCCTGTGCTCCTTCCCAACCCCCACACCCTCTAGCAAGTGGTGGGCTGCCTCTACTCAGGGGTGCCCTGGCCCCTGACTACTCGGGCCTTGGCTGCCTGGCCTGACTGACTGGGCAAGGTTCCCATTAGGATCTGTAATCATATCAGACAGGAGGGAAACATGTATACCTCCTTGCTGTATCAGTATGGCCGGTACCTCTGTTTTCTTCTGTAGCAGCTCCCCACCTTCCCATGACAGCTCTGAGGCGTGGAGCTGTTGGGCGGTAGTAGTTATTTCTGTTTTCATTCTGCTACCCTGGTTAACTGGTGTTCAGATTTATATACACAGGAACCGCTGTAGGAAAAGAGATGTGACCCTGTGAATGAATAGGAGATTTTTGTCTTTCATCGTTTTTTTTTTTTTTTTGAAGAAACAGATTTATTGGCTCTGTGAGATTCTTTTTTTTAAATTTCTTATTTTTTAATTAACATATACTGTATTACTAGCCCCAGGGGTACAGGTCTGTGAATTGCCAGGTTTTTTCATCATTATTTTTGTCAAAACAATTCTTCGTGTGTTTCCTAAGCCTACAAAGTCTAGTTGGTTTAAGCCCCATATATTTTTATTAAACTTTTTATTGACATGCAGAAAAGATACAGATCGTAAGAGTGCAGCTTCGTAAATTAGCACAGACTCACCTCACTCTGTGATCAGCGTTCAAAAAGAAAAAAAATAGGTCATTACCAGCACCCCAGAAACTGCCTCCCCAGGACGACTACTGTCTTGATTCCTCACAGCATAGATTAGGAGTTTTTTAAATTGTATTTATTTATTTTAGAGTTTGTGAGTGAGCAGGGGGAGGAGCCTCCAGAGGGAGAGGGACAAGCAGACTCCATGCTGAGTTCAGAGCCTGACAGGGCATTTGATCCCAGGACCCTGAGATCCTGACCTGAGGTGAAATTAAGAGTCAGAGGCTTAACCAACTGAGCCACCCAGGCGCTCCAAGCATAGATTAGTTTAAGCCCTTTTTTTCCCCACGTTTTACAGGAACCAAGTTCCAAGTATTTAACAAGTTAAATAATATAATATATTTTTAAAAGAAAGGGATTTGAAATTCCCTATGTACCTTGGGGATAGGGGAAATCCAGGTTAAGAGAAAGCAGAATGCGAATGTCAAAGCAATCTTTTTCTCCGTCACTATTTCTGAATGGGAACATTACAGCAGTGAGTCACATGCTGAGAGTGACAGAGGAGCCCAGCACACCTGTGGACAAAATCATATTGATAGAGACGCACATACAATTGCCACATCCAAAGGTTATGTGCTGGTAGGAAAATTTTTTTTAACAGCTTTACTAAGGTGTAATTGATACACAATTGTATGACTCAGGGTTTCCAGAAAATAAGAACCAGTAGTCAGATAGATAGATGCATACATACATGCAAATATACAGATACATAGAGATTTGTTTTGAAGGATTGCCTCACATGGTTGGGGGGGTTGAGAAGTCCCTCAGTCTGCTGGCTGCAAGCTGGAGGCCCAGGCAAGCCAGTGGTGTCATTCCAGTCCAGGCCTGAAGGCCTGAAAAGCTGTGGGGGACAAGGTAGCCGGTGGCCGGTGGTGTGAGTCCCCATCTGAATGTGAAGGCTCGAGAGCCGGAAGCACCGGTGTCCAAAGGGAAAAGATGGATGTTCCGGCTGAAGCAGAGAGGACAAAAATACCCTTCCTCACTTGCAAGAGTTTTTAATATTTGCTTTCTAACTTCCAAGAGGTCTTTTAGTGTGTGTGTGAGTGTGTGTGTGTGTGTGTGTGTGTGTGTGTGTGTTCTGTTGCTCAACAAATCAAATCCTAGCAACTTTCTGAGGTGGGATGTGGCAGACCCCCCTTCCTATAGAGTAGGGAGGACCCTGCCTTTCCGTCTGGTGATCCAGAGGGGCCATGTCCAAAACTGGTCAAGGCCCACTGTGCTGGGGCGAGCGAGAGTCAAGGCCAGGCAGATTCTTTAAATGTTCTAGGAATTTTGTCTCATTTGATTGGGTTGTTCTATGAGAACAGTCTCATTCTTCAACAGACATTTTATCAACAGGAGCAAATCCTACCATCTGAGTTTCCCAGTGTCCTTGATTATACTCGAGTCACTGGAGTGTCATGGTACACAAAACCAGGGAGGTGAGGTCCTCAAGGGGAAATTTCAACTTCCTTTCAAAGTTCTCTGAGTTCGAAAATGAAGTGAATCTTCTAATGAAACAGTTTTTACTGTTTTGCTCCATAAAAGCCAATTTACTCCACAAAGGGGAAGGATGTGTTGTAGAAGCTGGCAGGATGGAAATTGATGGCCTGTTTAGTAGTTTTCCCACAAAGAACTAAAAATGCTTACATGTATTACTTTATACTTTACGTAGTCAAGTGAGATACACGTTTAAATGGAATAAATAATTTTCCTTGAGGACTGGAGTCACATGGGACTAATTTTTCATTCTACAAACAGTGATGGATTTTGCACTAGGAAAATAATGTATTTTATCAAGAAGCAGTTAAGGGGTTTTATCTTGCCATCCAGAGATAATGGAGTTATTTTCTTTTGGGTAAAAATTAGCTTTGCACATGTTCCCTTTTTATAAGACCTTTTACTTTGTACCCAAAACATTTATAACAGGGCATCTGTAAAAGAAGCCATTTACTTTATTCACATTATTATTATTTGGCAGACTTTTCAATCTTTGTTTCAAGATTCAAGGTACCTGCAGAGTACAGGCTTTCTGAGATAAGAAAATCTCACATCTACATTTAATACTGACATTATCCATATATATTTCATCTTTCATAACTATAACTAAAGCACTTATTTTCCTGTTTATACTCTTAACTTTTTTTTACTATTAGCTTCATGGCCCAAATCACATTCTTTTGAATATTTTGCAACAAGTTAGGGAGACTAAAAGTAAAGGGACTATTAAATAAATATAGCATAATTTATGCAGACAAGTGAGTGTTGTCTCCCTTAGAAGGGACCCCTCTGAATTCAAAATCTTTTCCACAGCAAGGTTGTGTCAGAGGCTAGGGTCTTGGCTTTTTATTTTTTCTTCCCTTTTTTGAGATTTTATTTATTTATTTGAGAGAGAGGAAGCACGAGCGGTGCGGGGGCGGGGGTGTGGGGGCCAAGGGGTAGAGGGAGAGCAGGAAGCAGGCTCCCTGCTGAGCAAGGAGCCAGATGCAGGACTCTGTCCCAGAGCCCTGGGAACATAACCTGAGCTGAAGGCAGAGGTTCAACTGACTGAGCCACCCAGGCGCCTTTAAGAGGCTTGGCTTTTGAAGCTTGGAAGAAAATCTGGTAAATATAGTGTTGAGGGGAGCTAGCCTTTCTCGAGCCTCCGTAACTGAAGTTGTACGTATGTCAATGTCCCTGCTAGACGGTGCCGATCTCCATTTTTTGAGAGCAGGGCCACATTCACATAACTAGGAAATGGATTACAGTCCAGTGTGGTTTGATCTCAGGGTGATTTACTCTTTCCCTGTATTAGACTGATTATTTTATTTTCCCTTTTTCTGTGTTTAGGAAAAAATGTGTCTCTAAAGTCATGAAGCTAATTTTTTTCCTGCCTGGTTGATGGATTGATTCTGGATGTAAATGAACAAGAGGATACAAAAAATATTTTGAAAACTATTATCATTATTGAAGTAAACAACTTCTTGGAAGGAGAACTCTAATATGTTCTATGTTCTATTAATGTATATGAGGAAATGAGTGTTTGAAATTGAGTGTCCTATACAATACATAACCTCACCCATTTTTCCAGAGCATCTGGCTTCAGTTTCAATTAGATTTCTAAAAAGTGCACTGATTCACCTATTAGAACGAGAGTCACTCCGTTCATATATTACATAAGTGACTTTAGGAACTTCAAGTCGATTGTTTTGGGCTAGAGAGCTAAAAGCACCTGCTGCCATAACATTACTCTTTCATAAACAGATAATCATGTTAAAGTTGGAGGGAAGAAGGGTGGATCACTAAGCAACCCCAAAAGTGGGAGTTCAGGTCCCTGCGAGGTTCTGGCCCTGGGTTAGAGGCTACCGCCGTCTGGAAATGAGACTACAGGGTGCTCTGGTGGCAAAGTGCCCAGTGTTTTGGTGCTGGTATTTTTTAAAGTCTTTAAGGAATTGGAATATTTGCCAGTAATGTTCCTTTTCTAAGGGTATCAGCGTGGAATTCTTGAGATGTGGAAAATAAAACGTTTTTAAAAAGGTTTTATTTATTTGAGAGAGAGAAAGAGAGCACAAACAGGGTTGAGGGGCACAGGGAGAGGGAGAGGGAGAAGCAGATTCCCCGCGGAGGAGGGAGCCTGACGTGGGACTTGATCCCAGGACTCTGGGATCATGACCTGAGCTGAAGGCAGACACTCAAACAACTAAGCCACCCAGGCTCCCCAAAACATTTTTAAAGATTTTATTTATTCATTTGAGAGAGTGAGAGAGAACACGTGCACATGAGTGGGGGAAGTGGCAGAGAGAGTGGGAGAGAGACAGGCAGACTGGGCACAGATTACAACATAGGGCCTCACACAGGGCTCCACACGGGGCTTGATCCCAGGACCCCGGGATCAAGACCTGAGCTGAACAGATGCTTAATAACCAACTGAGCCACCCAGGCACCCTGAAAATAAAACATTTTTGTATTCTAAGTCCAAGACAGCTTCTTGTTCTTGTGTTTTAGACTTTATAATCTAAATTATTCAAGAATTTTTATATTCTTGAAAAAGTAATTTTGTGGAGTCCAAAATATGTAATGATAGTACTTACGTTCCACATAGTTCTTGGTGTACATAGGTGCTCAGTAACTGCTTTCTGAGCTGGCAAGAACACAAAAATTTACAAAGCATTTTGATCATATTGTATCAAATGTTACAGTCTCATACAGATATCTATTTCTGAGCATGGGTAAGTTGTTTTTTCAAACATGCTAAGCATGGTAATAGAGTATTTAAAATAGAGTATTTAAAATAATGTTTTTATATTTGACAAAAACTATATATATTATATTAAATACGAATATGACAAAAACTATATATAATATATGACATATACATAATGTGATATATATGTGTGTGCGTGTATATATATATATGTATACATATATATATATATATACATATATATATATATACCACATGTCACATTAACTCAAATGGGCCAGGGAGAATTGTTAGAATTGGGTGGCCAGAATGAGGCCAAGCGAAGCAGTGAGCCCTGTGCTCATCCAGGAGTGTCAACACCAGCGCCGGGGGGTGAGTCTTCTCTGAGACACGGAAATGCTTGCCAATCATTTGAAAAATCTCTTTCCAGAAACCGAAAGCTCCGGCATCTCCCACCGTGGAGGAGGATCCTTGCCTTGCCTTTCCCAAGCCCCCAGTGGACCCAGCGAAGATCAGAAGACTAAGCAGTGCCCGGGCTCGCTTATTCAGGGCGGCCTCCCAGGGGGCCCTGCTGCCCGACAGGACCCTGCCTCCTGCTGAGTGTAAGGCTGGGTCACCTCCTTTGAAATCTGGGGGGCGGGCATGCTTTTTTGAATGGGCACACAAAAGCTATTTTTACATGATTTTTTTTTTTCAAACCCTACAGGACTTTTACATTAACGAACCCTTAGTGAATATTGTGCAAACCTGGTTAAGAAACAGGGTTCATATATTTTTCTGGGCATTTAAGAAGAATACCTAAATAGCCAGTTTTGTTTTGTTTTAAAAAGTTACTTGGTAGGAAAAGAATATTAGGGTAAGTGTTTAATAACGAGGAGGTTCACCTGAGTTGGAAATAAATGATTTTTAAATCAGAGTTCAAACAGTTGTTAATTTCATTAGGCACATTTAAGATTCATACGATGTGCACTGAGCTGAGGTCTTTGAAAATACCTTTCCAATCCCATGTGACGATGAAAGCTAAAGTTGGATGGGGCTTTCCCAGTTCTTTTCCACAGAATGGCTAGTGGATTTCTAAACCTGGAAACAGAGAAGCTACAAACCTCAAGTTCTAAGGTGTGCCCCAACCTTTGGAATCACCCCTGCCACAGTATACTAAGAGTTTTTCAAATTCTGCAGGAAATGACCCATTAGTGAGATGGCACTCAATTTAGTAGATCACCAGCATTTTAAAAAAAATGAAGTAGAATAGAATGGAGAACATCAGGGCAAATCGCAGACAATAAGGTAAGTATTGCTTCAAGGAGACCTACTGTAGTCGTGTACATGTGTACTCAGGGTCGCATTACGAATTTATTACATATTTATATTCAACTATATTGTGAATTTATTATTATTCTATGTAGTCATAAAGTTGGAAAACCGCTTTACCAGGGGCTGACCACACCGGCCCTCCTGCAGTCAGTAAGGCTTGAGGAAGAAGGCTAGGTTTACAGACACGGAGAGGAGATTATCTGAAGAGGGATCCCAAAAGTTCCAAGTCACTGCCCGAGGATCCTACTTGCTTGACATAAAAGCGTTTTCCTTTAATTAGTCACTAATGTTTAAATGTAGAAGACCTCATGGAAGAATCCAGATTTATGACCTCTTCTGGGAAACTGGAAGATCTGGCAACACTGGGCCCCCGTTCTGGGGAGCACCCACCCCCATTAGCCCAGGGTACAAGCCGCGGCTCTCCTTGTCTCCCCAGCCCGCTTTCCTCATTTCCTGACCCCTCCAATCCCTCGTGAACCCTGACATCGCCGAGGAGGTAGAATCAAGAAGGATGGAAGAGACAAAAAAGGCAAGACAGGGTGTGCAGATCACGTCATCTACGGTGCTGTGGCAGGATGTGTGATCAGGCAACTTGCTTTACCCTGGGTGTCCAGTGTGTTTCTTTTCTTTCAGTCAATCAGATATTAACTGAGCCCCTTCTAAGTGCCAGACAGCACCCTCGGCCCACAGGGTCCTGCCCTCAAACAGCTTGTGAGGTTTGTAAACAGTAAGAAGGAAAACAAGGAAATAAGATAATTTGGGTCCTGATAAGTAATGTGAAGTGAGATAATGGGCTGGAGAATGTCCACAGCAGGAGTACTTTGTGTGAGATCAGGTGGCACTAGAATGTGTCCTTGAGGAGGTGGCCCTGAGTTGAAATGTGACCAATGAGAAGAAGGCGGCCATGGTGAAAACTGAGGACAAGGAGCCCACGCTGGGGGGACCTGGAGGCTTGGAGACAGGAGGAGGGTCACTCAGGTGGTGGAGGACCTGAAGGCCATTGTGGCTGGGAGATGGTTTACCCTGGGGACATGGAGGGATCCACCGCCCCAAAGAGCCAGACAGGGGCAAATGGCCCACACTCTATGCTGCTTGCCCTGAAAAGCCAGCACAGGGTTTAAGGAAGGGACAGACCTCCTCTGACTTCAGTTTCTCAGCTCTAGCTGCACTTAGAATCCCCTGAGGAGCTTTTCAAATGGGCCTTCCCTGGGGACCCCGTCAGACCAATGACATCAGAGAGGAGTGGGGATTGCAGGACCAAAGTCCTTGCCATTATGAGGGGCACAGGATCTGGAGCCCGGGGTTGGGGGTGAGGTCAGACCTCGCTAGGAACTCCTTAGAAACGGGGGGTGGCAGAGCTGGTGTGAGGGTAGTGTCGCTCACTAGATGTTTTGCTTCTGAGCCTGGATGCCGCCTAGGTGTTGTGTGCATTTAACTCTTGGTAGCTCTCAGGTGAGCGCCCTGCAGCTCAGGGAGCTGTTCGGGTGTCTGTGCGGGTGACTGAGGGATTGAGGCTTCCCCCCACCATCCTCACTGTCTCTGCTTCCCTCGGGGCTTTGCGCCTTCCCTTCTGTGCCCCCGCTCCCTGGCTGTTGTCTGCACACCCACTGTGGCTGCCATTTCCCAGCACTGAGACCGTCCTCGTGCTCCCCGAAGGGCCAGAAACATGTCTTTGTTGCCATTCTTGTTGCCCTGTTCCCAGGTGCCCAGGGCTCCTCATCCCCGAGGTCCAGGTCGAAGTCAGGGTCAGCACTCACGTGACAATGAGAGTAAAAAGTCATCATCATTTTAAAAGCACACATTGCCCCATTAAAACAATATACTCGGGGCGCCTGGGTGGCTCAGTGGGTTAAGCTTCTGCCTTCGGCTTAGGTCATGATCTCAGGGTCCTGGGATCGAGCCCTGCCTCGGGCTCTCTGCTCAGCGGGGAGCCTGCTTCCCCCTCTCTCTCTGCCTGCCTCTCTGCCTACTTGTAATCTCTGTCTGTCAAATAAATAAATAAAATCTTAAAAAAAAAAAAATATATATATATATACTCTAAGACTCCAGCCTCGGCACCATTGTCATTCGTGCAGGAGCCTCCTGGACTTGGTATCGGAGTCTCTGTTGTCTAGCAAAGGTGCCTTTCGGTGGGGGACTGAGGCTCTCAAGGCAGCTGAGCGGGGAGACGGAGGGTGTGTGCCTGCCTTTGGCATGAAGTCATTTGTAGCTGACTCTGGCACAGGCAGGGCGAGGGGTGTGGTGGCAGGTTGGGAATTTCTGACTGAAGAAAATGAAAGGGGAAGGGACATGTGTGGCCGTCTTCGTAGGACCTGCAGTGCAATGGCTGTGTGTTCCGATGGGCCTGTTGGCTGGAGGTGGCAGTGTGACTTACACCGCCCAGTTGCTCGAGCTGGACAGAGGCCACAGGGCAGTCTCCGCCGTCTCACCATCCCTGTCCTCTTGGCCTTCGCCAAGCCCTCGACAGGCTCCCTAAATGGGCTTCCGAAGCGTCTCCTGGCTCTGCACGTTCCTTTGCCACCATTGCCGCACTGCTGTCAGCCCCCCTCGCCATGCCTGGTCTCCTGGCGTCCCTGTCTGGCTCCGCCCTCCCTCACTGAGGACCGTGCTCCCTTGGAGCAGCCAGAAGAGCCTGGAGAAACCAAGCTGCCAACCGCACATGGCTGTGAGCAGCAACCGCATCCCTTCATCCCAGTGGACCGTGAAAAACGATTATTGTGCGCCATATGGGCCAAGGGGGCAGGAGGAAAATAAAAAATCAGATTGCATCATCCTCTTGCTGAAAACCCTTTGGAGGGCTCCCTGTGTCTGAAGGAGTGTTTGCTGAACTGAGTCCCAGCTTTCCCTTGGACGAGGGGTCCAGTGCTCAGATGGGTCTGCCTGCTTCCTCCGTCTCGTGGAGAGCCCCAGTGCACATGGGCCTAGCTGAGGGTCAGTAAAGATGCCCATTTCATCTTAATTCAACCCAGCATTTTAGTTATTCATTTATTCATTTACTTATTTCCATGTAAATATTTACTATGCAGTGGCTAAGGGTATGCAATGGTGGGCAATGTGGTCAGTATTTTTTTTAATTTAATTTTATTTTTTCAGTGTTCCAAGATTCATTGTTTATGCAGCATACCCAGTGCTCCACGCAATATGTGCCCTCCTTAATACCTGCCACCAGGCTCACCCAACCCCCCACTCCCCTCCCCTTGAAAACCCTCATTTGTTTCTTAGAGTCCACAGTCTCTCTTGGTTCGTCTCCCCCTCCGATTTCCTCCAATTCACTTTTCCTTTCCTTCCCCCATTGTCCTCTGTGTTATTCCTTATGCTCCACAAGTAAGTGAAACCATATGATAATTGACTCTCTCTGCTTGATTTATTTCACTCCGCATAATCTCCTCCAGTCCTGTCCATCTTGATACAAAAGTTGGTATTCATCCTTTCTGATGGAGGCATACCATTCCATTGTATATATGGACCATATCTTCTTCATCCAGGAAAAAAGACAGTCTTTTTAAGAAACGTTGCTGGAAAAATTGGACAGCTATGTATAGAAGAATGAAACTCGACCATTCTCTTACACCATACACAAAGAGAAACTGGAAATGGATAAAAGACCTCAACGTGAGGGAGGAATCTGTCAAAATCCTAGAGGAGAACATAAGCAGTAACCTCTTCGACATCGGCCACAGCAACTTCTTTCAAGACATGTCTCCAAAGGCAATGGAAACAAAAGCAAAAATGAACTTTTGGGACTTCATGAAGATCAAAAGCTTCTGCACAGCAAAAGAAATAGTCAACAAAACAAAGAGGCAACCCATGGAATGGGAGAAGATATTCGCAAATGACACTACAGACAAAAGGCTGATATCCCAAGATCTATAAAGAACTCCTCAAACTCAACACACAAAAAATAGATAATCACATCAAAAAATGGGCAGAAGACATGAAAAGACACTTCTCCAAATAAGACATACAAATGGCTAACAGACACATGAAAAAATGTTCACCATCATTAGCCATCAGGGAGATTCAAATCAAAACCACATTGAGATACCACCTTACACCTGTTAGAATGGCCAAATGAACAAGACAGTAAACAACAAGTGTTGGAGAGGATGTGGAGAAAGGGGAACCCTCTTACACTGTTGGTGGGAATGCAAGTTGGTGCAGCCACTTTGGAAAACAGTGGGAGATTCCTCAAAAAGTTAAAAATAGAGCTTCCCTATGACTCTGCAATTGCACTACTGGGTATTTACCCCCAAGATACAGATGGAGTGAAAAGAAGGGCCATCTGTACCCCAATGTTCATAGCAGCAATGGCCATAGTCACCAAACTGTGGAAAGAGCCATGATACCCTTCAAACCTAGCATTTTACAAATGTACTTGACTGGGGAATCTGTGTTTTGAAGAATGCAGTTTGGGAAATACTGACCTAGCAGAAGAGCTGGCAAACTTTTTCTGTAAAGAGCCAGAGAGTAAATATTTTAGACCAAATGGGCCATATAGTCTTTGTTCAACCTATTCAACTGTCCTACAACTCTGTTGTAGTGGGAAAGCAAGATAGACCGATTGATAGGCCCCAAAACTTGAAGTTCTTCTCAGTTTCACATGTTTTAGAATAGTGTTCTCCTTTGAGTTCTTCCCAAACATTGAAATATATAAAAACCATTCTTAGCTCGCAGGCTATACAAAAACAAGGGACAGGTTAGATTCGGTGGATGGTTTGCTGACTCCTGGCGGAGGAGATGAAGTCCCTACTCCTCAGCATGCACAGCTCTCTGACGATCTGGCCCCAGACTAACATTCCAGGCCCTTCTCTTGACTCTCTTTTGCCTCCCGCCCACAGCCTGTGCACCAGCAGTATGGACCTCCTTGCATTTCCCCATACCTATCCTGCTACTTCAAGCCTCTTGCAAAATCTGCTCTATCATTTGCTGGACCCAGTGCAAAATGAGAATGCGGAGCCCTTTGTTCAAAATTATTGAGAATTCCAAGATGGCGACAGCAAAGCATTCAACCAAATGCAGGGCCCTTCTAAGTAAGGGACCCAGCTTGACTGTACAGCTTGTATACACACAAAGCTAGCTCTGACTCCAGACTTTTGTTCCTTTTTCTCAGAACTCATTTTGGCCTCCTGTTAATCCTTCAGAATACTTCTCAGGCTCTGCCTCCTCTATGAATCCTTTCCTGACCAGTTCCCAACCCTTCGGGACTCTCTTGTTCTCTCTACTGCCCTTACCTGGCCCTGGGCCACACTGTACGACATTTCTCTCTTTAACACATCTGCCTCTGTCTCCCCTATTAGACTCAGCAACTTCAATAGGAAAAGAGGATTTCTTTTATTGGTAGCCTGAGAACCTAAAACGGGGACTGGTATATGGTCGGTGCCAAAGCAGTATCTGTGAAATGGAACTGTTTCCGAGTGGTAACACTGCTTGTTGTAGACTTTTGAAGTTTAACCCATGATCCATTACAAAATTAGTACAGCGTGCTACAGACGTTTACCAGGATCACAAAGGGCATTGTTACTCATGCTCAGTTTTATTGTGGACCTCCGTCGGGGGAGTCAGAGGGAGCCCAGGGCAGCTCCTCACTGCGGTAATAACGGACAAGCTCCCTCCAGTAGACTGTGAAGTCAGAGGGGCTGCAGCAACTCCACCCCTGAGTATGGGTACACTTATCCCCTACAGCAGCATCTCTGCATGGCTGGGACTCCCTGCTTCTCCCCCGACCGTTAGACCTCTAGCCCCCAGAACAGCACCCAACACAGGGCAGCGAGTACCTAATAACTACTCATGGAGTAAATGAATAAAGGAAACCAATGCTAAAATGTAGGAATAGACTAAAACCGCATTACTTAAGACAAAATCTGGGCTTTGTAATTCAATAGTGAAGGTATTTAAGGCAGCGTGGTGCCACGGAGGGAGTCCTGGACCAGAAGTTGGGATTCTTGGGTTTCCTTAGTAATACTGACAATAGCTTCTATGTTTGTAATAAATCACTTTACTAGGCCATATCATTTCATTCTTAGCACATCCCTAAGAGGTGGGAACCACTGAGGAAGGTGAGAGAAAAGTTGAGGGACCTGCCTGCTACACTCAGCCAGAACTTGGCCCTAAATCTGATGGAAAGCAAAGCCCACGCTCTTCAAGCTGTACAGTCCCGGCCCGCCCTGAACTTGCTCTGTGAGCTTAGACTGGTCACATAACACTCAGGTTTTCAGTTTTCTCATCTGAAAAATTAAGTTTAGACTAGCCGATCTCAAAGGTTCCTTTCAGCTTTAAAACTCATTGTTTTGAAAGCAGGGAGCTTAGTCGGAGTGGACTAAGTGGTTTTGATTTTTATTGGTTTGTTCAAGTGCAAAAAAGGAAACTTTGAGTTGCTCTGGAGAAGCTTGCAAAGCAGTATTTTCTATATGAACCTCATCCCTACATTCCCCTTTGAAAAAAAATTTTTTTAAAAAGATTTTATTTATTCATTTGAGAGAAAGAGAGAGAACAAGCAGAGGGAGGGACAGGCAGAAAGAGAAGCAGGCGCTCTGCTGAGCGGGGAGCCCGGTGTGGGTCTCCATCCCAGGACCCCAGGATCATGACCTGAGCTGAAGGCAGATGCATAACTGACTGTGCCACCTGGGCGCCCCTGAAAAAAACATTTTATCAGAAACTCAAGTGTGCTAGCAGCATCACAAATGAGCTATTCCTAATGGCCACTGGCTGATAAAGAAAGAGTGTTGTATCATAGGTCTAAGAATCTGCAGTCATACACACAATAGATGTTTAGTTTAGAGACTGGACTTCTGTTTGCAACTCTTATCATCTTAACCCTCTTTAGAAAGCCTTAGAAGCCAATGCCTTCCTCTTCCTACCACCTGGCAGTGGTGTCTAGGTCCTCCCCGATCTGGGTGCTGTCCCTCTGATCAGCTCTCTTCCTCTTCTCCCTCACATACTCTGCTCCTGTTGTGTCTTGAGCATGCCAAGCGCACCCCTGCCTTAAGAGTGCCCTACCCTCTGCAGGGAATTCTGTCCCTTGTCCACCAGTGGCTAGATGCCTCGCCTCCATTGCTTACCATGTCCACCCTCTTCAAAACTGCTGTCTACCCCCATCCCCAACCCTCTTTAATTTTCTCCATTTTTCTACTTTTGCTTTATTTCCATAGTACTTATTATATTATATCTTGGACCTCATTTATTATGGTATATTATTTACTATCTGTTTATGCCTATTAGGATGTAAGCCTACAAAGTCAGGGATCTTTGTTTCATCACTGATACCTCCCAAGTGTCTAGACCAGTGTCTAGTTACTCAGTTTTTTTTTTTTAAAAGATTTTATTTATTTATTTTAGAGAGATGGACGGAGGGAGAGAGAGATAATCCCAAGCAGGCTCTACACCCAGCATGGAACCCCCGATGCGGGGCTTGAGCCCATGACCCATGACCTGAGCCAAAAGCAAGCGTCAGACACTTAACCGACTGAGTCACCAGATGCCGTAGCACTCAGTATTTTTCGAATGAAACGTTGTTAACATGATCAAATTCAGGAAAAGGAGTCATTGTTCTGGGAAGCAGAAGTATTTCTGTGGACTGGGTTAGTCATAAACCTCCATTCAAGTTCGTGTCCTCTGGTAGACTCTGAGAGAGCAGAGAGAAGATCCCATTCATTTTAATGAATCGACGCTTCCAAGCCTGAAGTAGTGGGAAGGTCTTGTAGATTTTGGCAACACAATTCCAGACTAGATTATAAGTAATAGAAAAAATTTTAAATTATATAAACTCTTAGATTGAAAAAAATATTGAAAGAATGATTCCGAAAATCAGAAATACTTAGACCAAACATCTCCTTGATTTTACAGCAAAGACGACGGTGGCACCCGAGGAAACAGTTGTGATGGGGGACCCTATGGTGAAAATAAATGGGATTTATTTAACAGAATCAAGAGCTGTTGGCTGCTTACAGAGTCACCCACTTCAGCTAACTTATGACGGAGGCTTCAGTGAAATCGAGAAGCAAGAAATGTTCAAAGGGACAACCACCTTGCCATCCCATCTCAGAAGTGGAGGGTCAGTATTCTTTTGATTTAGTTTTCTGTTTAGGATAAACTGTGTCATATACTAGTTTGTTTCCTAATCTTATGTAGATGATTGATTTGCATTTTCCCTCTTATACAAACACATTTTTAAGTTAATGACGCACGAATAGGAAAGATTTTTTTTCTCATGGCTAAATGGAGTTGGTTTTACATCATTCCCTATTTATTCCTCAGGAAAACATTTATTCATACCTGCCAAACGCTGCGTTGATAGGCCTGTCAGAATTCTTTGCTTTAGTTAGGCTGTTCGGCCAGCCCTCGAGTGATGAGTGATTGTTCTGTTTGTGGGTTATTTGGGATTCCTGGCTGGCCTGGAATCTCACGTTCCCTCCCTTGGATTAGTTCATGTTGTTAATTCCACCAAAGAGTAGACACTTTTCTTATTCCCATGTAGAAACTTGGATTCAAATACTTATTTTGCAAACAGGTAAATAGTTAAAACAGGAGAATCCCGTACATTTCTCTTGTCTGTGATATCCCTCTCCTAATCCCTCATAAAATTAATTATTGGGAATTACTTTATTTCATACTATGTTCCTAGACAGGGCTTTCTGGGGTTTCCCTTAGAAAATCGAGGAACAATTTTCTTACCATAGTAAGATATGTGGAGAAATGTTCACTGTACGAACTGTATGAATTCTCCCGTCCCCCCTCCCACATCCCTGGTGTTTTCCTAAAGAAGTCTCTCGAATGAAGGGGAACTGGGGTGGAGGATGGGAGTGGAGAGAGCAGCCTCTGTTCTCTAGCCCCAGGCCAATAACGATGCTAAGATATGCAGAAGGTCTTGGACTGGCCCGGGTCATTCAGTTAAAGTTATTTTTCTAGGACTTTCCATTGGGTCATTGTGGACAACTGCCCGGTTCAGCTTTGCTTAACAAGATTAAATTCCATGAGCCATTTTAAGACCGAGGACTTGTTGCCCTCACTTTAGATTTTGGGTCTGACTTTGGCTCGTACACACGCCGCGTGCTTAAAACTTTTCCCGGAACCGGCTGCTTGGCTGAACTGAGCTTGCTGCAGGCGCAGCCTGAAGAGTGTCACACACATGGAATTCATATCAGGCAACCTAGTTGTCCTGGTCATGTTGCTTTACATTCAGAACATTTTTTAAATTAAAGGAAAAATGAAATAACTCCTTAAGTGGAAGAGAATGACTTCAAATTGGGACTTTGGGAGCTGAGCACAAAACATCAGACTGGCCATTGCAACCGATCTTTTCCAGTTGGTGACTGAGAATGGGCTGCAGGCCTCAGAGCTTAAGCATAAAAGACCACGGGAGAGCTTGTGTTTCTTCAGCACTGAAGGGAAAAGGAAACATTTATCTTGCTGCACCCATCCTTACAGTAATTAAAGTTGACTAGGAAAAACCAGACAAGAGCCGTTTTATTTTGTTTTATTTTATTTTTTTCTTGCAAACCTTCAGATGTTGCAGAATAATCTGGCAAGCAAGAGTTCATTCTGTCTTCCTCTGTTGGGATTGGGGAGGGCATTTTCAGTTGCATATTTTATCCCACCAACAGCAAAGGAGAAATCAATTAGGGACTGGAAGCCCTTCTTCCTGACTGTCCAAAATTATGAGGCATCCGCGGCCCTAATTGTTTTCCTTCTGTTCGGTGAGGATGGCTTTTGTGTCGTGTAATGACTGTGTCTGAGTCGAGTTTGCAATGCACCCTGGCGAGTTTAACTTCCAATTATATGTCTGCTTTATGAATCTTTACCTCCTTGAATCACGGATGGGGTTTGGTTGACGGGGTGCCAAAAAAACGGTTTATACAGTAGGATTAAAACAAACCAGAAAATGGAAACTATTAGCAATTCTGTCATTAATTACATTTGTGAATCAATCTGGGACACTTGATAATTGTTTCTCGTAAACATTTAAGTGAAGAATTCCAAGAAATGATCTTTGCTATGCAATGGAGTAGTCCCAGTTTTGATGCCAAAGCCTTACTCAATTAACATTTTTCCGTCTTTAAGCCCTAATGTGGTAAATGACGACTCTTGTCAGTGAGCCCCGCTGGCAGAGGGAGGGGGGGCGAGGGAGGGAATGCAAGAACTAGAAAAGGAGGAGGCTTGAGAGGACAGTGGCTGGAGGAGGAGCACAAGCGGGTCTTGGAAAGGGGAAAGAGGAAGTGGGACGAGCGCCCCGCCCCCCTCGTGCAGGGTCCTTACCCACTTGCTTAATGTGGAGGAAGTGACCACCTTCACGCTGCCTGCTTCAGGGCTGGATAGAGAAGGGAGCGGTCTATTAGGGCGAAATAGCTTTGATTTGTACCCCCTTAATTTAGAGTATGGATAGCTCAGACCTGGGATGGACTGGAGTTTCACTTTATGCTGGTCGTGATGGAAAAAGGATTTGCTAAGCAAGCTAGCATCATAAAAGAGATCTTGGAGGACTATGTAACTTTCCCAAGGAGAATATACTCTGAAGAACTTACCCAGCTGTCATCTTCAAACAGTCTTGCAACTCCAACACTCTCTCTGCATCCGGTTAAGGGCCCATCTAAGCTTTGGCAGGTTTGCCCCTTAGGGACACTCCATTTTCTCTTACTTTGTGTTGCCATGTGGACTGAAAATAATAAAGCTTCCATTAGAATATGAATGTGTATATATGTCTATCCACCTAGCCATTCATCCATCCAGTGGTTCAATCTGATGAACACCTTGGTATTCCTGCTTAAAAACCTTCTAAGGCTTTCAATGTAAAAATGGTTCGAACTATTGTGGTTTGGAAATGTGATCTTCAGGAGAAAAGCCCAAGAACTCTTCACTTGATCTTAGCCAAAAGGCCGAGAAGTGATAGTCCAAGAACTCTTTGCTGGAAACCACGATCCTTGGATTTAGGCTTGGTTCACTCTCAGCCACTTGACTTATCTGTATGCTCTTTGGCAAGTCTCTTACCACTTTCAGGGGCTCAGTTTTCAAATCTGTAAAATGGAAATAACTGGGCGCCTTCACTCCCATCTCCCCCCAGCCTTTACCAAGGGTTGTGGGATGATTAATAAGGCCTGAAAGCTTTATCCGTAAACTGTCAAGGGCCAACAGTATTTTTGGAATCAAAAAGGAGGAAAGAGGGCTTCTGATTAAAGGTGATAAAGCAAAGGCATTCTGCAGAAAATGAACACAAGCAGCAAAGAATGAAAAACACAAAAATAAATGCCATCAATGAAGCAGAAAACTTGTTCCATCCCAAAATGACAAAACATGGAGCAAACTTTATACTGCAGTGTGGGCTTGATTTTTTTTTGTCTACCTGGCATTCTTGCCTTTGGAGAGCAAGCTGTCTTGCATCATGCTCACTCCAGGTTTAGAGAAGGGCTGATCTTATCTTCCCTGCCCACCTTCCCTGGGGGCCCGGGGTAATTATGTGGCCCCAGACTGGCCTTCCGAGTTCTCCAATCCACCAACCACAGCAGTTGGTTCAGAGGTGGGCACATGATCTAAAACAGGCCAGCTGAATTCCTCTCTGGGCCTTTTGCCAAAGCCTTTGAGGAAAGTGCTCTTTCAAGTTCATAAGCTGTAAAGATGATGTGGTCTTAGAGCCAACAGTGGCCATTTCATTGCCTTTGGAGGGTGACTTTGAAGGGGGAACGTGCTGTATAAGCAGAGCTAAAGAAATGAAGATAGTGACCAAGTTCAAGGATGATCCATAGATACTCCTAGATCCAGCCGTACCTGAGGCCACTATATCCACATCACAGACTGCTCTGTTTTGTGAACCAGTATGTTCCTTGTTCTTTTTTTCTTTCTTTCTCCCTCTTCTTTCCTTCCTTTCCTTATTTTGACAGGTACAGCATGTAGTATTTCAGATTAGGTTTTTGTCACTTGAAATAGTGCAGGCAGGTGTCTTGTTAACCTGCCGGACTCTACAAAGTATAGATGAAAACAAGGGGTCATTTGAGAGCAGACACTGACCTCCTCAGATCTAGAGGACTAGATCTAGAGCAAGAGACAGATTTCACTAAGAGTGAGTCTCTCAGTTCAGACAGGTGGATAGCCGGTAGTCTTTAATTCAAGAAAAGAGACTTGAGGGTGTGGGTCAGCCATGGGAAATGTGGAGATGCCCCTGTAAAGACCTCATTCAGGATCCAGATGGTGAAAGGGCAGGGGGATGGAGCCGAGAGTGATGATCTCCCCATTTCCTGGAGGCCAGCTGGTGCCCGTGTGTGTGCCTGCGTGCGTGTGTTGGCAGGGGAGGGAGTTTGCTAGGTTAGAACTCTAGGATCCTATCACGGAACAGGGTTTTCCTGTGAGTCACAGTAATACGCCACACACAGACCCAGCGGCCACATGCTTCAGGTCAAGAAAAATGACAGACTTGGTGAATGGATGTTCAAGGAAGCTGACTCAAGTTGAAGCTATAGAACACCTGATTCTCCCCCTTTGTGGCTCCTATTTATTCTTCAGCAAATAAATGGCTCGGTTTTAAAGATAAATAAATAGGACAAGAGTTAACATAGAACTCAAGCACAGATATATAAAACACATAACAAAAGATAGATGAAGAAAATGGATCACAAAAGGAATTGCCCTCTAAAACAAGAATTAAAACAATTTTCCATAGTGTCAAAAAATTTTTTTAAGAAAAGAAAAAGGAGCTCTTCTTTGGGTTATAAGAATTCAAATTCGAGATTCTAAGCCCCCTAAAGAGATGAAAAATATGTTTGCAATTCTCAAGAAGTGAAAGAAAAATGTATAAACATGGAGAGGAAAGTCATATTAGAAATAAAGTGAGAATAAAAACAGTTGAAAATGCAGTGAGACATGGTGTACAGGCTGGAAGCAATCCTACAAAAAAGAAATGAATGCGGAGATGTGAACATGATTAAAGCAACTGGGATAGATACAGGAGGCATTGTGGCACTTGTAGTCTTGTAGTCTTCCTCCTCTCCCTCCAGCCCTTCCTAGTACTAGCTTACTTTCAACAACTACCTGCCACGCACTCTTCCAAGCGATTTACATGTGTTAACT